GCTACTAGGAACAAGTGCATCGCTTCTAGTAACAAGTGCCTTACTAGTAGGAGCAAGGACGCTACTAGGGGCTCCTGGCATTACTAGTAGTAACAAGAAGCTACTAGGAACAAGTGCATCGCTTCTAGTAACAAGTACCTTACTACTAGGAGCAAGGACGCTACTAGGGGCTCCTGGCATCGCTACTAGGAACCTTTCATTGTGGACAACAGCAGGTATCATGACTCACAGTGGGAAACTAATTGCAATGGCTAGCGATTTCCTCCACCCTAAGAGCGATGGCCTTCAACTGCATATCATGACTCACAGTGGGATCTAATTTCTAACATGTTTCTGCTCCACCCGCTGAGGCTGCTACAACCCACATGGCGTCGAATTCTGTGCAGGTACATTGCTGAGGAAAGAGAACGAAGAACCGGGAGAAATAATGATGCTCGCTGAATCATGAATGTGTTAAGTCTGTTAAGTAATCAGAAGTACCAGGTTCGCACATTGCACTTTCAGTGGACAACCAACACCAAGCACTGGTCCCAACCAGGATTGAGCCAGGTGTTCTTGGACAGTCACAAACAAACTTGTTTGAAGTCCAACAGACCTTGTAGCTCCTTACTACTAGTAGTAAGGCCAGGAGCTACTAGTCTAGTAGCGTTTGCCTCCAAACTACTTGCGATGGCCTCCACCTAATAGTGTCCAAAAGACCTTGTGGAGGTGTCCAGCTGGCCGAGGGCTTTGGGGAAACCACCATGGGCGGTGCAGAGCCCAGCGGTCCGAAAGTCACGCCACCGCAGTGGCTCGTGGGGACGGAACAGGAGACGGCCTTCAACCTGCAGCTGGATCCGTCAACAGGTGATTCGTGTTGATGGCGGATGGGTGAGGAAGATCCAGAGTAATTGGTTCACAGTTGGTGCTATGGTGACGTTAATACAGCTGCTTTACATGGTCATTCATACCATGGTTTGGAAGGCGGAGACACTTGCGGCCATTTCTTGAGGTGGTTCTTGTATGGCTAAAAGTGGAGTTATTGTTGGCATGAAGTATATGCTGAGGGCTTAGAGCCCTAGTTCTGCAGAGGCCACATACATTGTTCACGCGCATTCGCTTGCCTACTCTGTTTGGGGCTTACTTTGTATAGGATGGTGTTTGTTTACTCCTTATTGAGATGGACTTAAAACAAAGTACACAATGCGCGGTGGGGCGGTGGGGTAGAAGAAAGTCCAGTGGATGGAAAATGTCGTTTGCGAGGTATGCCAACCATGGCGGAGGCTATGTCTACATGCTGTGCAAGCGCGACAGCTTCCTTCAATGTCGCCAGGATCATTTGGCAGATCCCATCCGAGGCTCGAGCCAGGAGCAGGTTGATGCCTATCTGAAGCTCACCTGCAACACCGCTTGTGCTGGTCATATGCTTATGACTCAAAGCAACTATCAGCCCAACCGATCGTTGGGCGAATTTGTCAGCTTGAAGACGGAAACATATTGACCATGTCCTTCACAACTGGTAGTGAACAATTCATGGTTTCTGGTCATCCACCCCTCAGATCATAGAATGCATAGGTGGTTTCTTGACGCTCCATGGTTCCGTTTTTCCGCTCGAAGCGTGAGGAAATGCATTTGGGACTGCTTCGAAGCCAACGTTCTGGACTTTGCGGACACTCAGTGGCTGGAGTATCAAGCGCAGAGGGACCTGAATGCAGCTCGCTTAAGCTTGCAGTGGGTTTCATGAGATTTCCAGCTGGAAGTGATCTAGGGGTTAGCGACCTGTCCTCAAAGTCATGCACCAGTCAAAGTACCAAACAAGGAGAAATACAGCAGCCACCGAAAGATGGGTTGAAACCTATAGCAAGTTCTTGAAACGTCCAACGTCGGAAAACAGGGTGAGTCTCCCAGACTTCATCTCCAGACGCTGCATTGCTTCGGCCTCGCCCATGGGAGCCGCATGCCGCCCTTCGGCTCCGAAGTCATCCCAGGTGACGATGAAGATCACCAGCAAGAGTGGCGACACAGAGCCGGCAGGCTCCACCTGGCGGTGGATCCCCATCCCCGACACGGCGCAGATCTCGGGAGGTGGGTGAAAGAGCGGACTCGGACTCGTCTACGGTCCAAGATGGAGCTGGGTATGTCATGTCCATAAAGTGGTGGGAAAGAGCAGGTGAAAGGCAGTGAGTGGATAGAGAATGGGAAGGGGTGGGATGAAAGGATTCACAAGGAAAAAGCAGACACGTGTCAATCTAATAGCAGACACCCTTCGTGACCCTTCCCGCATAGCAGTGCATCGCACCATTGGTTCGCTGAGAACACCTTCGGTAAGTGCGGTGATGTTGGCGATTTGTCGTCTGCCAGCTGTTCTACACTTGGAGCGCGCTGTAGAAATACCCAGCTTGGTCGTTCTTTGTTTTTCAGTTTGATGTCCTACCAGCCTGGCGACCTATTAGGTTGGAGGCCGCTCTTAGGTTTGAGGCCATCGCTAGTAGGTTCCTTTTGCTATTAGTAGCGATGCCAGGAGGCCGTAGTAGCGTTTTGTTCCTAGTAGTAAGGCCAGGAGCCCCCAGTAGGGTCCTTGCTCCTAGTAGCGATGCCAGGAGCCCCTAGTAGCTTCTAGCCCAGCGACCTCACTTGGGCTCCAAGTTTCCACCTGCACTGGCAGGTGGCGAAGGCTTGTGCTCCTGGGACGCCGTGCAAAGCTTCGGCGACGCTCAGGTGGAGCAGCTCTTTGCGGAGGACTTCGGTCCAAAGTCTGTCTGCGACGCGGGGCCCAAGGTGCACAACCCCAACAACTGGGAGGCGTGGTGTGCCACACAACCGTTAGCATGGAAGTAATGCCAGGAGCCACTAGTAGCGTCCTTGCTAGTAGTAGTAATGGCCTCCAACCTAATAGCGATGGCCTCCACCCCAATAGCAATGGCCTCCAGTCTCGTGGCGATGGCCTCCATCCTAGTAGCGTCTTCCCTAAAGTGAATGAAGCTGGTTCAAAGTTTAGTCAGTAATCACCAAGTCAGCGTGAGAAACTATTTGAGGTGACCTTGTTTGCCAGCATTTCTTGCCCTGTAGCCTGCGTGTTCAGGTCCATGACAAGGTGCTGGTGCCCAACAACCTTCCCCCAGGCAGGGGGCCTCAGAAGAAAGACTATCGTTTTTGTTGGGCATTTGCACCAGTCGAGATAGAGCATTCAGCACACAAAGAACAGTGGATTCTCAGCAGCAGTCACAAGCTGCAACCAACAAGAAAAACAATAATATGAAAATATACCTACTTGTGGATTTTTTTCCTTGCATCCTACAAAGAAATAAACCAGATAGAAGAAAGGTTGAAGGTCAACAGCAACAATGAAAGGAAACAAAGGAAGAAACACGGAGAAAGGCAGCTTCGAAGTTAAAGAAGTCCAAGCCCTTCAGCCGTGAGGTGAGTATCGGAACAATAAGCTACTAGGAACAAGTGCATCGCTACCAGTAACAAGTGCCTTACTAGTAGTAACAAGAAGCTATTAGAAACAAGAAGCTAGTAGTAGCTGTGAGGTGAGTATCTCCTCAGTTGGCGTTGGGCACCTTGGCACCTGATTTGCGACACCGAGGGTGGCTTCGCGTGGCGCGAGGGAGGTGCTTACTTCGTTCAATGATCATGAGTCATGAGTTCAAACACTTCATTCCCAAGAAAAGGGTTGTCTTACATCAAACATATCAAAACAGTATGGGCCTGATGTAGGTCCCTGGTGTCATTCTCAACCTCCAGAAGGGCGGTTCTCGTTTGGGCCGAGGATTGTTACATGGCAGATCAGATTTGGTCCAACTGCGCGGACGTGGAGATCGTGGACCCTAATGCCCCCACCACTACCACGAGCACCACAACAACGAGCAGTCGCACAGGCGGCACCACCACTGGCGGTGGAACTGGATGTGTCGATGAGCCGCTGCCCGCCCAGTGGAGCCAACAAGGACTTGGAACGGGAAGAGGGTTGGAGAATGTCAGAGGTCGAAGCTATGAAAGGGCTTGGATCTGGAGAGTTTGTCTTGCCATGTATCATATGAAGTATCTGAAGCCTGCTTAATCCACAACACACGCCATCCCTTGTAGCTTGAAAAGAGCATCTTCCCAGTCAGCAAAGTGGTATGGCCAGTCTATGTAGTGTGCACATTAAGGCACTTTGAACCAGCTGTGAAGGACGTTTTGACTGTACGTATTTTGAAGAGAGAGGTGCTGCCTACAGCCAGCCCAAAGCCTATTGTGCCTTGGAAGTCTAATTTGCAGTATGCAGTGTGCATACATATCGTGGAAACGCTATCAGCAACACTCCTCAAATGGCAGCTATTAACTGAGATGCCCGTTTCATGAGAGAATGCTTGGGAAGGGTTGCTGTGACCTACATCTGAGACCACCTTAAAGCCTTTGCTACTTCCAGGTGCCCACAATGCCATCAGCACCGCGTGCTGCTTCTGTGGTGGCGGCGTTTCTGCCGTGCAGACCGCTGTGCAGACCGTGCGGAAGCCGCGAAAGCGCTCGCTGAGGGCCTCATTGGCGCTCATCCAGAGTACGAAGAACGTCACTCGCAACTGGGTGTCAAGAGAGGTCCAAAGAAGCTTTCGGTTTGGAGTAGTTTGTAGACGGCTTTTAGTACACGATAGGAGGTTTCTTCTAGGAACTTGATCACATGTTTGGTAAAAGACGGCAGTGCAGAGCAGCCTGTTCATTTGACCTTTGTTTGCTTCTGTTTTCCACCGAGAGGGTCACAGACAGTGGCCGATTCTCCTAATTGGATCTTGATGTCGCACCTCGCGCAGGTTTAAACTCCGAGCTATGACAGCTATAAGTGCTATAACTCACTTGCGAATGAATGTGCAGTTTTGAAACAGAAGACTCCACCGTGCTGCTGGATCTTCCACTCGTCCACAGTGTCATTGGTCGCGCTGCATGTCGGTGGCAACAGCTGGGGAACGCTCAGTCCTGGTACATGGCTGAGGTCTCAGTTGGGTTACTCAAGATGTGGTGAAGCTCAGTGAGCACATGGCACTGCAAGGATGATTTTTTATATCAATTTTGCGACGCCTCTCCAGTGGGAGAGTGTGTCAAATCGTTGTAAAGGAATTCGTGCACCGCGCGACGCGCGACACTCTCTCCCAGCGCCCCGGTGTTTGATGTGATCTCGACATGTGAATGTTGAGATCCGAAGCACTGGTGAGGTGGATCCCAGTTCAGCTGGCCACAGTTCAGCTGGCGGTCCACTTTCTGGGAATTTGGCAGGAAAAAAAATGGGACATCGAAAACAAGGGCCGGGGATGCGGGTGCACCTGCTGAAATGTGAACCCTCCTCCTCTAGGAAAGCAGATGTTCTTTTGATTCAAGGCTCAGACTCAGACATAACATAGGAGAGTGGACTTTTCCATCTCCGAGATTGTCCATCACCTCAGCGCGACAGAAACGAAGCAGAAGATCTCGGAAGCCCGTTTTCTCAGAACCCGTTTTCTGGTTTTCATCCATTGCTGACGAGCACCTGGCAGTTCAGGGTCTCATGTGTTGGCCAGGGCATCGGTGACTTTGAGACGAGAAAGAGCAAAGTGAGTTATCGAATTAAGGAAGTGTCTCTCCTTGCAGTCGTTGCTGCAGAATCTCTCCAGCTCTTCAAGAACGGACTTGAGTCCGTGCCGCACACGTGCCCAGCCATGGTGGGCCAGCTTGCTTTAGGCTATTCCTGTTGCTTGATCGCCAGTGTGGCGTATGCCGTGAACTATTTGCCGGTGAAGAAGTATGACACGGGCGACGGGGTCTTCTTCACGTTCGCCATGTCCGTGGGGATTTTGATGGTGGGAATCCTTACGGGCGCTTGGGCGGAAGAGAAATATGACACCAGCGTTGCTGATGGGACTCTATTCAAAGTGCTATACTTCCTGATAGCCAATAGAAATAGCCAATGTTGACTAACTGCCAAGCCTCCAGCAGCTTCTCCCCCCGAATAGCGAGCCAAAGGTTGGTTCCTCACCGTTTTGTCCACCGCCCCGGTGTCACCGCCCCAGGTGTCTTCTTGAATAGCGAACCCTTCAACTTCGAACCCTTGGCAGCGCTGGGCGGGGTGATCTTCACGATGGGCAACCTGCTGTGCCCCGCAGCGCCATGGTGGAATTGGGGAAAACATGTAAATCTCGCCCTTATTTAGGAGTCCATCGCTATTAATAACAAGAAGCTACTAGGGGCTCCTGGCCTTACTACTAGGAGCAAAGACGCTACTAGGTTCCATCGCTACTAGGGTGGAGTCCATCGCTCTTAGGTTGGAGGCCATCGCTTCTAGTTCAAGGAGCATGGAAAAGAGTCCACTCAGGGAGCTTGTAGGTGATGAGAAGGGGCTGTGTGTGTGTGCTAACACGTGTGCTCATCAGGGTTGCTTTGTCATAAAATCTGTATGGTGTCATGGGTGGTGTGGTTGTTACGGTTGCTCCACATCAAGTGCTTTGCATTTGCTTCTAGTTGAATCCTACTATTCCTAAGAGCCAAGGGAATGTGACATCTCAATCACAAGAAGGGATCACGACAAGCACACAGATCACTCGACCAAGGACATGAAAGTCTCAGATTTCAATGTTGTCGCAGCAGGATAAACAGGACAGGTATCCAAAGCTGCATTGGACATGACAACCCCACCTCAATCATTTACTATCCAATTCTGCTCATGTTCGGTTCCACACCAAACTTTAAAAGAGTTCGTCTCTACAAGTGCCCCCAACTTCTGAACGCACCTAAAAATCTCCCACGAATCACGATCAAACCACGATCCACCCAGACTTCCACCTTTCTTCTTATTGCCGCCTTCGGAAGAAAAGAAAGGAGAAACACGTGAAAAAAAACACGAAGTCGTCTCGATCGCCTTCGGTCTCCTTCGAGCGAGGTGATCCAGCTGATTGGATTGGGCTTGGGTCTGACGATTTGGGACCTCAGCAACATGCTCATGGGTTGGGTCACGGGTCGGTTCGGCCTCTTTGGCGTCTCTCGGCGGGTAGGTTAGTATGTTTTCAATGGTGGCAGATGACGCCAGGCCAATGAGATTCCTTTGCAATTCACGAACAAAAGAGCCCCTGGGGGAGTGAACGAGGGCAAGATGAGGAGATTTGCGGAGGTTTCAGAGATCTGGATCCACTTATTTGACCAGGTCCTAGGTATTTGTTAAGAAAGTGTAGGTGGCTATTGAGGAAATTCACACATATCTGCGGGAGCCACCCGGTGTTTGCTGTCAGTCGCCAAGAAAGATCAGGGAAAACATATAGTAGCTTCTTGCTCCGTTCGTAGTGATGCCAGGAGCCCCTAGTAGCGTCCTTGCTCCTAGTAGTAAGGCCAGGAGCCCCTATAGTAGCTTCTTGTTCCCAGTAGTACACTTTACTATGTCAAAACATGTTGAGGTCTGGAAACATGCCAGTTCACAGCTCTGAAACAGGACAGACATGAAACATCTGCAGGAGAAAGGTATATCAATTGAATAAAAGGTAATAATATCAAATTTGAACCAGAAACTGTCAACTTATATTAATAATAGATCGTTTTATCTCCGAAGCCACTTGGCTGAATGTTCAAAGGTGGAGATGGAGATCTCCCAAACGCCTTGGATGAATTACTCCGGCTTGGCGCTCGCCTGTGTCTCCTTGATCTTCATGTACTTGGCTGCACGCTACGATTGCGTGAAGACGACGAAGGAGGTTGAACCTGTTGAAGCGGATGTGGAAGCACCAGCTGAGGGCGACAAGGAGTCAAGGAGAAATCCAAACGACACGGATGGGTCGTGAAAGACTACTCATAGCAAAGGGCATCGCTACGAACGGAGCAAGGACGCTACTATAAAGGCGCTCCTGGCCTTACTACCAGTAACAAGAAGCTAGTAGTAACAAGTGCATCGCTACTAGTAACAAGTGCCTTACTAGTAGGAGCAAGGACGCTACTAGGGGCTCCTGGCATCGCTACTAGGAACAAAGGGCATCGCTATTCATCAGAGACGAAGTCTGAACGATCACACGACAGCAGGGTGAAACCTGGTCGAATCCGAGGGACTTGATACGCACTGGATTACAGTCGTTACAGTTGCATCGATGATGGTTTGTTTGTTTGTGTGTTTTTTCCATGGGCAAAAGCAGAACGATTGTTTTTAGTAACAACCAAGTACCAACCATAACCATGTTCATGAGCTTGCTCGGATTCGAAGGCTTCAGGGTCTTTCATCAAAGGTTTAACAGCCTTTCACCTACGGTGTCTCACAGAGTTGACATGGAATCCTGCCAACACGTTGGTCTTACCATGTGCCGACATGGACAGACTCATGAGTTGACCCTGTTCGCTGCCGTAGGAACCCATTGAGATTGGTTTTGGGCTGCTGGGCTGGCGCAGACGAGCTTTTTAGATTTGTTGTTAAGTGCAATAAGTCTAAGTCCATCTAAGTCCCCTTAACCCCCCAATAGATACCAATCGGATGATCACATATCTTCCTGGTTATTTTTTCTGTGAACAGGTCTTTAGAGTCCAGGAGACCGTATCAGGAAGTAAGTGTTCCCCCAAAGACAGATGCAAAGGCATCTCACTAGCAGACCCTCGCAGTAATCAGGAACGTGGAATAACGTGAATATCGCATTTGGAAACAGACCCCACCCTGAAAACCGTCCTTCCAAGAAATGTGTCAATATGTTTCATCATGGTAATATTCCAGATTGTAGGAGGTGTTGATGGAGGCATCGTTGCCAGTGTTGAAGCGTTTTGACGCATACTGATTGCCTATTGTTACCCATCATTGAGACACTGATGTTGATGACACTCCCTGAGATTAAGCATGGTTGCGTGGATGGCATGGCCCCTTGGACCATGTTCCGAATACCAAACAGGTGGCACCATCGACTTCGATATTTCCCACGTTGGACCGTCCGGCGTCGCAACGTGGTCGTTGGGTATCAGTGACTTCCTTGAGGTTCTGCAATGGCGGTGCTTGCAGGCGTTCTGTTCGGAACGATGTGCCTTGGTGTCCGGCTGAACTTCTTGCGGTCGACATCGTCCGATCGCGGTGCCCGCTGGATCGAGTGGAGTGATCCAATTGCCAAAGTCGAGTGGAGTTGCCAAACAAGGAACCTCTCAAAATGAGCTAGTTGTGATCCTGGAATTTGTGTGAATTTGTGGATTGTGAAGTTGGTGAGGCGTTTTGCAGTTGGGCGCCTCCACTGTCAGCTGAACTTCTTACCTTTTTTTGAGGAGATGTTCAGTCAAATCCAATGGCAAAGTCGGACACGGAACAGGTGTGGAACAGGTTTTGAACGTCCAAGGGGTTCTGGGTGGCAAAACCTGTTGACCTAGATCACATCTATGCTCCTTTGTGGCTCCTCTTCACAGTCACCCCTGTCCACCACTGCCCGGCGCCGATCAGGGTCGGGTGTGTCGCTCAGTGATGCCAGGTTTGATTTGCCGCAAGATCTCATGCAGGGGAGATTCGGCCCTTGCCACAGCCGATGCGCCTTGGACTATGTTTTCAGCCACTTCCTGGGGATCTTCGTAGCCTCAGGGGTTGCCTTGTTGATCTATGTGGGCGTACAGAGGCCAGAGCTTTGAATGATGACACATGTCAGCCATTTGTTGAAGCAGATGAGTGGAGTTTGAGCTAAATAACTCAGTTCACATGCACATCTTTCCCACCCCCTTTTGCTGTTCGCATCTCACTGGACGAAGGCAGCAGAGCTTTCTGCCCTGCCAAATCGTCCTCCCCGCGATGCTCTCGGGCATCATTTGGGCCATTGGCACGGTGGCCTGGTTCGATGCCAACGGCGAGCTGGGCTTCTCTGTGGCCCGGAGAACAGGCACTGACCATTTTCCCAGAAAACATTTGGGTTGAAAACCATACCAAACCCTTCCATACACCACAGTCCCAACCTCAGGTCACGTTCCCCATTATCAGCAGTCTCCCCAGCATCCTGGCCTTACTCATTGGTTTCCTCTTCTTCGACGAGCTCAACACGTCGAAGAGTCGCTTCTTTGCGCTGCTGGGCGTGGGCATCCGCCTCCCTGGGGTGGCACTCATCGCGTTGAGCCGAGTGTGATGGAGACCAGACCGGCTTGGAGACTGGGCAGCCCGGTGTGACTAAGTAACGATGCGCTTGCTACTAGTTGCGATGCACCTCGTGCAACAAGCCCAAGTTGAATACACGAACTTGCGGACGGTCGATCATGACACGCGCGCCCACGCTCCCCCTTCCCAGGTATTCTGGGGGGTTGGGGTGGGTGTGAAAAATGCACCAGAAACCTGTACACCACATGGTAAATTCACCAAATATGGGCACAAACTCTACTCACACCTACGAACGAAAAGGCACAGGCATAAAAATGGAAACGGACAAACAGACAAGCCCAAGTTGAATGGTGATGAAAGCGTTCACATCGCCTGCAGAGTGGTCCGAAGATCGGGCGGCAAGTTCGGCACGTGGATTTAGTGGAAAAGAGAATCCACCTCTTGACCTCCTTTCGCATGGACTCCTGGAAGCCTTTAAGCCCCAGGAGGTGTGAGGTTCTGAGGGTTCTGAGTTCCGAGTTCCCTCCCTGGTTTGCTTCGGAGTCAAAGAAACCGCGAACCTACTACTTGGTGTGTCATCCGGGGGAACTCCAACACTTCGCACTGTGTCAGATGTACAGCAGGGCTCGGCGGATGGCGCAAATCGTGGCGACATGGGGTTGCCACTGCCATAGACCGCATGGTGTCAGGGATCTTTCGCTCATGGCTGGGATCCTTCTTCACCATTGTACAGGCCACCTCGCAAAAGCCTGAGGTTGGTGGCCCAAGGACGAGGGCCGGGCCAAAACGGGATCGAAGATGATCGAAGCACGCTTCCACTCGTTTGTGTCCTTGATGTTTGCTTTGGAAGCGGTATTCGGGTTCACGTGGGTTCACATTTCGTGTCCCTTCTACTGTTCATCACCGTTCGCAGACGAAGATGTGCCCTCGCAGCCAGTATCTCAGAACAGAAGCAGTGCCGTGCTTTTGTGCTTTGCACCATGAGCTGGTGGGTGTGCAGATATTGGATGAGTACATGAGCCATGTTAAGAAACAAGCTAATTGTGCAAACACTAATGATGCATGTAAAACTTGTTGCGTCTTGCATAATTACTTGTTCTGGTCATCCAACCAGCTTGCTCACTTCGTTATCAGCCTCAAAGCAGTCCTTCTCACAAGCACCTGTGACACTTGGAAAGCATTTCAGAACCCTCCGCAGAGATGGCCCTCGAGCAACCATTTTGGGATACAGCGAGAACCATCACAACAACTAATACCACCATTGCATCATCGAGGGCCCATAATTTTTGGATAGCCTTTACAAATAATATCTCGGCTCATGAAAAGCCATTGGAGTTCTTTGTTCGAAGACGCCTTCCACCGACCATGTCCAGGTCCGCCGATGAGCGTGCCCGTCGAGATGCACGCCGTGCCGCGCGCCGAGCACAAGCCGAGGCATGTCGGGGGTTGTGAGTTGTGAATGAAGATTTCAAAACCTGGAAATCTGTGAACTTGTTGTTGTGTTTATTGATTGCCATCGCTAGTAGGTTAGAGGCCATTGCTATTAGGGTGGAGGCCACCGCCATTAGGTTGGAGGCCATCATCAGGTTGGAGGCCATTGCTATATTCGGGTGGAGGCCATTTGTGAACTTGTTGTGTTATTGATTGTTCATGTGTTTCTTCCCAAGTTTTCTCTTCGTGTCTTTGGGAATGAAGATGAAACAGACCCCGACAAAAGAACAACGCAGGGCCCCACTAGCTTTGTCATAGTTCTGCAGCCTAGAAGTTGAAGGCAATCCAAATTTTCATGGATATCTAAGACACTCCTCACTTGGTGCACTTCGTTCCAGTGGGTCAAGAGACGTCCGATCTGCTTGAAAGATTCGAAGGTGACCAGTCCCGAACCTGACCAAGAGAGTGAAGGGGAGGCGGATGTGGGGAGCGAGGAAGGAACATGGACCGCAGCTGAAGAAATTCCGAAGAAAGCACCAGTAGTCAAGGCTAGATCATCCCCCCAAAAGGGGGTCACAATTGGTACATCTCAACGAAGGAACCAAGGGCCAACTGATTTAAGGAAGTTGTTGCAGGAGGTTTGGACTGGCTATCTTGGGAAAGGAGAGACACGACAAATGATATAGGGTGGTAACTTTAAAATTCGGACAGGGACATTGACACCAACATGAGGACAAACATGATTTTTGACCTATAATTAACGAGGACACTTTATTAAGTGGTCACAACTTGTCTCTAAGGTTAAGTTTCCCTAAAACATCTAGGAACCAAATGAATAGTGCGAGCGCTTCTTCAAGGAAGCTCGCCCCGCCCTTAGGCGCGGGGAATTTCCTTGAAGCGTGAGCTATCCTGCGTCCAGTAGCTAGTAGCTACTTAAGCTACTAGCTACCTCTCTTCTACTAAGGAGCCCCTAATAGCTTCTTGCTCCTAGTAGTAAGGCACTTGTTTCTAATAGCAAACATTGTTGCTACTAGTAAGGCACTTGTTACTAGAAGCGATGCACTTGTTCCTAGTAGCAAAATAAAACACCTCTTCCATCTCTGCGGCAACATATGTCTCGGGTCGCCTTCTTGTGGCTCTCCTCAGGAGGATGAGCCCTCTCTGGCGTTGGTCGTGGTCCGAGCTGCCAGGCCCACGCGCCCAAAAACCGCGCGAAGTCATCGGTCAGATTCGTTGACTCCGAACTTGGCGGGTTTGAGGAATTTGAAGTTAATAGCGATGGCCTCCAACCTAAGCGCGAGGGGGGGTCCAGGGTCCTGAGTCTTGGACCCACAGAGCAACGACGAAGTGATCCATGCCTTCCTTTTTGGTGTAATTTGCTCACAAAATTGTGAATGTTCTTCGTTGGACAACCTTGACTTTTCCTCAGAACTACCGAAGTTCACCCATCTTCCTCTCCATAATTCATCAGGGACAAAAAATGCGAGCTTTAGAGAGGTCCATGTTACATACCCCACGAATCCACACGACTCGGAGCGCTCGGACGCTACGAACGGGGCTCTTGGCATCGCTACGAACGGAGCAAGAAGCTACTAGGGGCCCCTGGCCTTACTACTATAGGAGCAATGTTTGCTACTAGGAGCAAAGGGCATCGCTACGAACCGAGCGATCGGACGCTACGAACGGAGCAATCCCGCTAGGTGCCGTAACGACTCCGAGTTGTTTGTTCGACGGCCGTGCTTCGGGTCCACCGGATCGCCTGTCCACCGAAGGCCCATCCTGCGAAGCGTCCAGTGGCTGGCGAACCGAGTCCTGGGCGAAAAGAAGACGCCGCTCGGCAGCGACGAAAGGACTGATATTGGAGGCCATCGCTAGTAGGTTGGATGGACATGAAATGACATGAAGAAGGGGATGGGAGATGAGGAGTGAGTTAGATCTGAGGAATTGGAAGGATGTTGGTAGGATGTGGGTGGATCGTGTTGGAGTTGAAGCTTGGGGACAGTGAGACACAAGTCCACAAATTGGTTGGGAGGGGGAGTGTCCATCGGTTGTCTTGGATGCGAATCTGATAGATGTGATGCAGGATTGCAGAATCGGCTCACTGAGAGACCCACCCTGAACTAGACAGATTTAGAGACCCAACAATTACACTATTTATGAAGGGGTAACAACATAAAAATTGTCATTCCAAGACTTTGATCACTTATCCCGAACTTATCCCTGTCATTGCTTGTTGAGGATTTGAGTGACGCATTGGGTGGGGGGCTTGCTAGAGACCAATCTTGGTGTGACGCAAAGACCCATGGTTTCTGCATGGGTGCGCGATGGTGCGCGCTTTTGCTGCAAACTGTATCACAGCGAGGGAATTGCAGTGGCTTAATAAGTACCACTGAGGCCCTGATCGCTTGTTGCAACAGCAACAAGTTCTTTGCGTTTTGCTGTTTTTGACTCTTTGAAACTAGATCCCAAAGCTTTTTTAACTTGCGCTCTGGGTACAAAACATGTCATGTGTTTACAACTTGTGTGGCCAGTGTTCACCACTCTCCAATATCTTCTACTGGAATCTATTCGAATCCGTAAACGCCAGCGTGTTTGAGGAATCTTGGATATGCCAGCCAGCCCGGATCCTGGATGTTGCCGACATACCAAGTCATGTTTTGTTCCTCATGTGTGAAATCCGTTGGCTGAAAAGAATGATAAAATACATGATGAATGTTTGCATGGAAAAATCAAGGAACGAATTGTGTTTCTTCAAATATCCTGACAATTCCTTTTTTCGCGGTGTTTCTTTTGTTGTGTGTCGTTTCGTGAAATGCATGGGCCCGTCCGACCGAGGTTCTCCTATGACCATCTCTCTGGCCAGTGGGTTTTGCCGAGGCCTGGTGCAAGGGGAGAAAACATGTGCAAACCGAGCCTCCGTTCAGAGGGTGTGAGGGTGGGGAGTTGAGGCAACAAGTTGGTGTTCCTTACTACCTTACATTACTATACTATACTGTGTGTTCTCATCGTGTTTCCTGAGCCATCGATTGAACGCAAGTCTTTTGGCTGTGGCTTTCAGAGGCCAACCAATGCCGCTCCGGAAGAAGAATCTGCATCTTCTACAGAGGAACACACCTGGTTGCAGCACTCAGTTGACCATCACCTAGCAGAGCGCCATTCTGAGTTTGGTAGTTGAGCAGGCCTTCATGCAAGTAGTAATGCTATAGTGACATTCTAGTGCTCTTGTTGCCAGCCGGAGAGAGGGACAGAAAGACAGGCAAAACGAAGGACGGAACGAAAGATTTTTTAGAATTCTGAGGGGATGGTTTACGGCGAAATTCCATGACGCCTTTTCGTTGGACGTCTTCGTGTAAAGCGTGGAGGATGGATGGGCCTCTCAGAAACATGGCCACACGCAGCGGTTCACAGCAAGGTCTCTTCCAGAAACCCAAGGACCACCAATGAGGCGGGACGCTCAGCTCTTCTTTTCACTGGGGACGTCCAACGAAACCTTTTCGAGGAGCGCTTGTAGTTGCTTGTAGTTAGTGTTCGTGTGACTTGTAAGGTGTGAAACAATGTTTGCTATTAGAAGCAAATAGCTACTAGGAACAAGTGCATCGCTTCTAGTAACAAGTGCCTTACTAGTAGTAACAATGTTCGCTATTTGAAACAAGAAGCTAGTCTGAAACGAACAAGGCCTTTTCGGTGCGTAGGCTCCAACCTTCGTCTATATCGCTCGCTCCGAGCTTGTGAAAGTTGAGTTTGCTGCATTGCACTCCGCCGTTGCTTGCCTTGCTTCGCCTCGCTTTTGCCTCTTTTCTCCTCGTCTTCGTGGCCTTCAAGCTAAGCTTCTGGGCTGCTCCACACGACCTCGAGCCAGACGCTCTGGACTTCGTGGTCGGTGCCAACCTTTTGAGAATAACTAGATTCTCTTGTTTGTGGACACCTTTTTCTTGAACCACTTCACTGTGCCCTTGCCGCCGAGCAGTGCCTTGTTGGAGTGACCTTTGGGGGTACATAGACCCTCCTTTTGCTTTGGGCCCTACCATCGTTGCGCAACTTCACTTTCGGTCTAAGACCACCTTTTCTTTGGAGAGCTTCAGAACTTGCGGAGCTCCTTGAACACCTTGCAGCAGCCTCACTTTTGTTTTTGGCCAACTTGGCCGTGAAGATGACTTCAGCAGAAGAATCCGGCACCAGCTCTTGGTACCGGGTGCCGACGTGGTCGGGCAACCCGGCGGAATGGCGACAGTTCCGCCGGGAGATGAACTGGTGGATGGCTTCGCTGGATGAAGAATCCTGCAAGAAGTTCAATGTTGCCGCCCGATGGGCACTTAGACAATATGGTGTGGTCAGGGCTCGTTGTGAAGAATTCGATCCCCAGGATCTTGAAGGGACCAAGGAAGAAGCCATGACCGATCCTGACACCGGCGACAAAGTGATTCGGGTTGCTGCAGACCCTTTTGCTGGCCTCAAGAAACTCATGACTGCCTTGGAGGCCACGGTTGGGAAGACAGCTTTGGATAGAAAGGGAGAACTCCGATCCCTTTACTATCAAGAAATCAAACGCAGCCCTGGAGAGAGAATCTCAGCATTTTGCACGAGATTCCGGACCCTTGCAGCTGAGCTCAAGCGGGAAGGCATAGTGATGCCGGAGGAGGAGTTAGGCTGGATGTTGAAAGAACGTTTGGGACTGGATGCAATCAGGAAGCAGTTGCTGGAGACAGCATTGGCAGGTCGGGAGAACTATGATGTGGTCGAATCAGAATGCCTTCGTCTGTTTCGAGATTTGCACTCCTCCGACCCTTTGAACAAGAGCCGACCTTTTGACAAGGCACCACTACTCCAGCGTTTCCTACAGTCTCATGACAGACACAGCTCCTCTTCGTCCTACAGGCCTTCGACTACAGCCAGCTCGACGGCTCCCTCTTCTCGCTCCTTCCGGACTCAGAGCTCTGGTTCCAGCCGGCCACCTTTCAAGCGTTTTGGCCAGCAGCCTCAACCTCGACAAGCCTTGATTGCCGAGGCCCCTGAAGAGGAAGGCCAGATGGAGGCGGAAGATGAAGAGCTGATTCCAGACGATGATGGTCAGGGTTACTCTCCTGAGAACCCGACGATCGAAGAAGTCCTCCAGACCGAAGCTGAGCTTCTTGCCCAAGAGCTGCAGGAGCTCGAGACTGAAGGTTGCGACCCTCGAGTGCTTGAAGATTTGGAGAGCGGCATGGAACAGGCCGCAGAGAGTCTGTTGACAATGCGTGAAGCACGCACCAAAATAGCTGAGGTCAAGAAAGACCGTGGATATGGAAAGCCTGGCCAACCGGCTCCTCGTTCGACGAAGCCCCATGGCAATCAAGTCCCTCGCCAAAAGAGCACTACAAAGTGCTTCGACTGTGGTGAGATGGGACACTGGGCTGGTGATGCAGGCTGCAAGGCCCCTGGTGCTGGCCTGGCTCGACCCAAAGGAAAGCCTAAGAGCCAGATGACGAAGCAGGTTCGTGTCACCGAGACCCTGAACACTGAACATGTGGCTCCTGAAGAACCTGATGACATGGGCCACGAGGTCATGACAGTGGCCGCCGGCGATTCATGGGATCGCCCATTGTTCGAAGTCCTCATGCAGCACCATACCGACCCCAAGAACATTCCACGTCTCGCACAAGACAAAAGATTCGTTGGAGCTTTGGATAGTGCTTGCAATAGAACATGTGCAGGTTCCTCATGGTTGGCCTTCTACCTCCAAGCCCTTGAACGTGCTCCTTCCTATATCCAGAACCTCATCATCACCACCCCCGAGAATGAGTTGTTCAGGTTTGGAAATGGTGGTACCCAAAGAAGCACCGTGAGGTACAGACTCCCTATGGCCCTGGGTTCGACTTTGGTTTTGGTGTGGGTGTCAATAGTGCCAGTGCCATCGTTGGGACTCCTTTTGGGAAGAGACTTTTTGAGCGCTATCGGTGCGGTCCTTTCGTTCGGCCGCAAGCTACTGAGAGCTGACTTGGTGGGTGGCGAACTCTTGGAGTTGGGTCAGCTGGCCGCAGGCCACTTCGCCCTTCCACTCCAGCCTCGCCAATGGCCTCGTCCGGACTCCCAACGCTGGCGGAAACTTGGACAAGACGGCGTAGTTGAACTTCAGTTGAACAGTTTTGATTTTTGGAAGAAACAGAAGGAGTTATCTTTGCAATGGGGTTGTCAAAATGAATGGGGTTGTTGAACCTCAGTGCTGCAACTCATGATTGTGAGCCTTCTCCACCTTGGTGGCGCCAGAGAATGATGGCAGAGCTTCAGAATAATTTAATGCTGAAGTCACCAGGCTAGGAGAAATTGCATCGCTTCGTGCATCCCACCCTCAGCCCCCCCACACTTTACAGGGTTAATTTTGACGTTGCCACTTGCCCTCCCTCTCGTTACACATAAAGGCATGAGCCAGCTTGGAATTCCAAAGATGAGACAAAATCTGAGTTCTCTCGGCCTAGGCCACCTTCGCCCGCTCTGGGCACTTACATCTCCGGGCAGGGGAGATAACGACGTACCCCCGTTCAACGGGTCCACGGGAGGCACTCTGCGGGCTCATCCCGGGTTGGCGCGAGGCCAAACACACTTAGGATAGGGTGTACTGAGCTGATAGCGGTGCCACACGCCGGCCTAGGGTCAGCGCTTCGTGCATCCTGGTTTTTAAATAGCGTATCGTCCCAGACGTGCAGCGCTGCCTTCCGGACTGTTTGACAAACTTTCTACGGCGTGACGCGTGATACTTCTAAATTTACTTCGCGCAGTAGCGTTTACCTTCTCTGGCAATGTGTTCCATTGTGAACGACGGCGGGTTCTTGTCAGTTCGTGTTGACTGTGTTTTTTGTGCATGCAGAGACATTGCAGTTGCGTAGCTGCGCTGAAAACTCTTCAGGTGCAGAGGGTTTTTTTCTTGGTGAGGGTTCCTTATATTCGTTCAGGGCTCGCCGTGCTAGGGCAAGCGAGAGGTGGCTCAAAGTCTTTTGGGGTGGTGATGGCGAAGTTTGCTTCGGTCGATGCTTTGCCCTTTTCTTAGCTTTCAATGCTACCGAACAACAGCAGTGATGTTGCCTTTGAAGATACTTTTTGTGGAGCGCCTGGAGGTCAGACTCAGACGTCGAACCTGCACAGGTTCCTCAGAAGCGGCCAGCGACTAAGCCCATGAAGGCAACTCTGTGAGTGTCAGACTTGTTGTTCAAGTCAAGCCAACGCATGGCAGGCCGCCGGTTTCCCGAAGATCAAGCAGGTCAGAAACAGAAAGCGCCCAAAACAGGCACGGGCCCCAAACAGTCAATCGCACAAACCCGGCGCGAAATCATGTGCGCTGGCAGGCCAACTCCCCCGATCTCCGCGTAGCGAAGGTCAAGAAGTTTGTCTTGAAGAACTACGCGCAGGTCGCGACATAACTGAAGAAGCGTCAGTATTTAATTTTCAGAGATCAGATGCAAGTTTTGTGATTGTTGAGAATTACTTCCTGGGTGCAATGTGAATCTTGCAGGCTCCGCTGCCCGCACACGGCAGCATTTATGGCCAGAAGATTCACCACGTCGTTGTGCCATTGCCACAAGCGCCTCCATTGAAGCTGAACGTTGCAGAGGGCTTGGTTTTTGCTCTGCAGCGTTTAGTTAGTGGGTCCATGTTTTGATTCCGAGGTCAGTCGAGCAAGGGGCGGAGGCAACAAAAAGAATGGCGCCCGAATCTTCACAGGAACGAGAACCTTCCGCTCATGGTCCTGCCTGCGTTGCAGACTCAGATTCGGCATGACAATGAGTTGAACGGAAAGATGCAATGATTGATGGCCCCAAAATCCGTGTAATTTTGAACAACAGTTGACACTGGGTTGTAAATATCCTGGCCCATGCATGTCACACATTGTACGGAGGCGTATTTGGGGCATCGCACAGATGCACCAAATCTGAAGTGTCGACTCGCGGAATTTCGGTTCTTGCCTAAGCTTCAAGAAGCTTGTCCGTGTCCTGTGCCAGCCACTCCTTGTGCTTGGGCCTAAGGATTTGGCTAACCAAATCAGGCACTGGGACCGGTATGTGGCTGAAATTGCGAAGTGTGGGGCCAAGCCGGGTTCGTGCTTGAACCCACGCGCAGCAGAATGGTTTTCTGGCGCGCAGCTTAGATTTTCAAGCGCTTGGAGGTGGTGTTTTAAATTGTTCGATCCGATTGTTTCAAATCTCCAGGCCTCCCTTTGGGGTGGACTGACCCTGCGGTTTCAGTGTCGCCGGTCTTGTTGGACCAAATGTTTGGCCATGAGCAGGCCATGTTATGTTTAACAAAAAACGAGATCGTTTGATTGCAGCTGGCAGGCTGAAAGTGTGGGCTGCGTGTCACTCTTTACAGGGGTGGCTGGCCTAGAACTTGGCCTACGCAGGCCACTCTGCCATGCATTCAGTCGCAACTTCCTAATTTGGTATCATTGCTTCAAAGAATTTTACACTTTCACTGCATGTTTGACCATGCTTTTGGCTCAGAAACAGACCACGAGCATTTCTTTGTGAGATGGACACATGGCAAACAGTCCGCACCGTGGGCGTGAATCAGATAAGGCTAGCTACTGCTGCAGTGTGTTTAACTATGTTTGCTATGTTTTTCATTTGCGGGTCGCTTGCAGGGTTGAGCGTGGTGCCAATGTATGGTGCAAGTGGCGCAGTGGAGTGCCGGGATCCAGAGCACTGAAGCTTGAACCTTCTTTTGCAGTTGCGCAAGTTTTAGGTATCTGTGGCAGCGAAATGCCTGGGTTGAGATCACTCAGAACCAAGTGGACTGCCTAAGCCTAAGCCTGAAGCGAACAAGGGAGGCCGTTCCTGCTTCTGAGGCCGGTTTGTTCATACATGGCATGGGACCAACAGTTTCAACCCACCAGTGACGGGAGGCCCTGTGCACGACTACCAGATCGCAACCAGCTTCTGCAAACGCCAGCAGTCTTGAAACTGAACCGCCTTCCAAGAAGACCCGCTGAGGTTTCAAAAGCCAATGAGTGGAGAGAAGGGACATGAGTGCAGGACTGAGACTGGTGTTAGGTGAAGCGTTCGATCGCTCTTTTCAAGAATTTCTAGCTTCTTTCTACTATATAGTAGTTGTCTATGTTGAAGCTAGAAAGAAGCTATAAAAGAGGCATATATAGAAGAATATATATAGTAGTTGTCTTCCTTTTTGAGTCTATTTGCGGCTAGCCTGACCGACTTCTGCGGACACCTGACAGATGAGCTCTTGGTCTTGCTTGCGAGTGTCCTGATCTTGCTCAAGTTTCTGGTGCAAACTGAGACCCGCTTCCGTCCAGCCCCATGCCCACCCTCTCCCAAAGATTAGCGGCGCTGCACATTGGTGTGGAAGAGGAACCCGAAGATTTCTCCTCCCTGAGCATGGCTCAGCTAGAGGCGACCAAGCTTGGCTTTGGATCTACCCATCATTCGAAGACGTATGGGGAAGTTTGGGCGGATCACCAGGTGTATGTGAAATGGTTCTTGGCTCACCACAACCCTGCGTTTCCACTCCATCGGAAGTTCTTGTACTATTGCGGGTTGAACATAGAGCGCGCAGAGCTCGAAGGTGCCAAGATCCCGCTCACTGGTATGCCTCCCCAACCCCGTCGTGAGCCGCAAGTTCACGAACCAGAAGATCGTGTGGCCCTGCTGGAGGCAAGGATTGCTAAGATTGAGGAGGTTCTGAGCGGGGCTGATGTCTGGGAATTCGTGAAGAAAGAAGTCACGAAGAAAACACCTTGAATGTTTGACTTGGACCATTGCGCCTAGTATGAAAAACACGCGCCACTTTCCACAATTGTTGCCCGGCAGAGATTCAATGGACCTGGATTGACTTTACCCTGCATTTTTTCTGGAGTTGAAGCATTTTTCCTGGAGTTGAACATTTGAAGCGCTATTTTGCAGGACTGGGGGCACTACTACGTGAGCCGTGCCGTGAGCAAAAACGACTGACTGAAAAGTGAGATTCTTCTGTTTATTTATGACATTTATGACATTTGTTGCATTTTGTCACTTGTCGTTTTTTTCTCATGTTTCTCATGATCCGCAACGAACCTGTTCGTCAATTCTAGGGGGCGCCAGCCACGCACTTGACTCTTTGGTCTGTCGGGTGCTATGGGAAAGCGTGTGTCCTCAGGGTCAGCAACAAGCAAGAAAAAGGCGAAAGCAAACCAAAAGGAGGTGACCGATGATCCAAAGTTGGCTCATGCGGGCCGCATCTGTGAGTGGTTCTTTGACTGCCTAAACGCTTTTCCTTGAGTTCTAAATAATTCACTGATTTACCATATTATTGCTGTTTACTGCAGCTGGCCCAGGTTCATGAACATCGTCACTCCTGCTGGAGGGGCAGATCAATATTTGATGAAGAAGTACCGGACGAAGGTCACGTGTGGAATGTTCTTGATGCTGTTGTTGTGCTCTCAGAGCGTGCGTGTGCAGGATGATCAAATGGACTTTGCAGGGTGGCTGGAGAACGCTTTCAAGCCGGATTCCAGGCAAGGTGCCCTCGCCGCGCAAGTGTATGCGTGCGTTGATCTCATGGCAGGATCACTTATTCAGACGACCTTAGCATCGGCCCCAAGTACCTCCGCGTTTGGCAGTTGGGCTACAGATCTGATTTCGGCCTTCCTGGCATGGCCGACCCATATGACATGTGCAGTCTCATTCAGCTCGTTTTGACACAGGGGTCGCCAGGCTGAAACTCTTGTGATTCGGTTCCTTGCGCTTAGGGCTTAGCTGCTACCGGAAAGAGTCCACTGCGCCACGTTACCTGAGGTTTAGAACCGACCCCAATGAAGGTGGAGTTGAAAAGTTGACCGTTACTCAGCCCAACAAAGCCTGGCTGGATGCCCCGTACAAGGAGCTCCCACAGTTGGTTGAAGGCTGGGACCTCACTCACAGGGTGTTGCGTTCAGGGTTCTACTTGAAGGTTCAGTCTGCAGTTTGATTTTGAATCCAAATCACTTCACTTCAGGTACGCTGCCACCATTCAGTGTGGCCTTTGTGAAGGGATGGCGACGCAGCCTCTCAATTCTTATCGTATGCGAAGGAATCCGAAGTTTGGGAATCCCATTTGAGGAGCTCACACCAGAGTTTAAGGCAGGTCTGAAGTGTTCGCTACC